GGAACCTTCCAAGGGTGCCAAGCTGTGACGAGAGGGCCACCAGGCCCTGGAGGGGCCAGGAGGCAGTGTCTCCACAGCTGGCCCTTCCCCTCTCCCCTCCCCCTCCTCTCCTAGTTCCCTTCACTCACCACCTCTCCACTCTGCCTCTCTCAGCCTTCAAAGCATTTGACATCAGGGACCCTGAACCCTTCCCCTGGGAGGTTAGGGCCTGATTGAGGCACCTCCTCTGCCCATTCGGGCCCACCTGTGATTTTTATCAGTAATGGCCATGCCTCCACCCACCTTAGTTAGGAGCTATTGCCAGAAAGCATCCTTCAGCCTCTTTCTGTCCTTTGGACCTATCTACCAGACATGTGGAGGGAGGGTTGGGGCTCTGAGCCAGATTCCACACCTCACGTTGGGTCACAGCCCTTAGCCCACTTCCCTCCAGCCACTGGGCTACCTCTCCTTCAATCCCAGAAGGCAAGTCGTCTCATCGACCCAGGGAGCCAAGAACCAGCAGACCAAATGGATTTGAATGTTCTCATCCCTGTTTTTCTCATCAGGGGAGAGGCAAGGCCACCACAAGATGAAATAGTCAAGAAGGAAGGCCAAAAGCGGTCTTGAGGGGCAAGCAACTTCCATCCCCAAATGCAGAAGGGCAGTTGATACCTGCAGGTGATCCTTTCCCTTTCCATTTGAGTCCATGATGAGGCAGCTGCTGTGGGATGGAGAGGCAGAGCATGAGGAACAAAAGGAAGGGAACTGATGACAGGCAACTGGGAGCAGGTTGCAGGTGGAGCTCAGGAGATCAAGGGACAAGGTTACTTCAAGGTCAGGGTCCCCAGAACTCCAGAGCTGCAGGCCTACTCTGCTGCTCTTTAGTGATGCCACTCTGGGCCAGAGGGTAGCCCTCTTCCCCAGCTCCCCTGGAGGGCCCCCCACCCTGCCTGAACACTCCTCTGCCCCAAGCCCTCTCCAAGCTTGGGGGATGCCAGCATGGAGTAGGGCTGAGGGATGGGGACGCTATGAGAGGGAGTGTGGTGTGAGTGAGGAGATGCAGGGACTGAGAGAGAACAGGCACAGGGTAGTGCACGGGTGGTGCAGCAAGTACGTTTCTGCATGGCAGGGGAGAGCGCAGAGGTAGCCTGATGGGATGTAAGGCAGGGTAAGGCAAGTGGGAGACACATCGAAACGATCTAGGGGTGCCTGAGGCAGCACTTGGGGATGCAGGGTGGAATAGAAAGTGATGGAGGCTGCATCATGTGAGGGGAGCAGTGTGCGTGGAGGTGAGTGTGGCAGTGTGACACAAGGGCTGGAGGATGTCAGGCAGGACAAGGGAGAGAACAGGGCAGAGCCAGGCCTAGAGGACCACACAGAGTGAGGCTGATGGCCTCTGCCATTGAGCCAAGTCCCAGCAGGAGCAAGTCTGACCTGGTGCCAGGTCCAGAGTGTCTTCTCACTCACCTCACCCTCTGTTGCTCCCTAGCACTCCAGGTGCCATGTTGGACTCAAACTTGGCTACACTGAGGGGAGAAACCCATCTTCTCCTCCCATGGCTTGAAGGGGTGTCCAGTCAGCAGGGACAGATGGTAGGGCATCACCCAGGCTCTCTTTCCTAAGCTTAAGTAGGAGGGATCTGAATTTTTTTTATGGTGAAAGTTCTTGACCAAATTTTCAAGAGCTTCAGAGGCAATAAGGCAGACCAGATGTTTCATCCTATCCTGGGGGTGGACAGACCTTCTTCCTCCAAAATAATGACTTCCCACCATGTTTGCTGGGATTGGCTCCTATTCCTCTTTCAGCTCCTGTGTGCACACACATTTCCCCAGACCGACGGCCTGGTTTCTCTGAGTCCCATCCTGGGAGAAGTTATTTTCTCAGCAGTATCCCCTCTCCTCCTGGCATTAGTTCAAGTCAACTCAACGCTGCTGTGGCCAGGCCCTGGCCTTAGGCCCCAAGGACACAGGGATTAATCAGACCTTGTCCCTGGACTTGAGACAGTCTCAATCAGTGAGAAAAAGGACAAGGACATGAAACAGTGGTGATGGCCATGAGAGAGGGAGAGACTTAAAATGTTGATGAAATACAGAGGAAGTGAAGACTGCTTCTCAGGGAAATTGGTGCCAGAGGCAGAAGTCGGGTAGAGATCAGGAAAGGTGGGTTCTAGGAAAAGGGGGTGCCTGAGATAGGCCTTAGGGGAAGACAGGTCAGATTTTTACAGGCAAGGAGGACAGGGCATGAGTCCAGTGGAAGAAGAAGGAGAGACTTGGAAGGGGGCCTAGTGTCTTGGGAACAAAAGCCCTTAGGGGGTAGGGGTCTAGCCACTCAGAAGTGCTGGGGCTCTGCCTGGTGTTTCACCAAGGTGAGATGGTAGTGGTGACTATGGTTACACTGAGCAGAGTTTGCAGGATGCTGGTTCACTCTGCCCAGCCCTGACTGTGCCCCTTTAAGGCCCATTACGAGGGATCCCATATGGCAGAGCTTTTAACTGGTACCCCAAGCAGGAGATAAGTGGGCCCAGGTATTGATGCCCTCAGTTCACAGCCTTTTTGGCATCCTCCCACGAAAATGTTAGCATTTTCTGAGTGTGCGATGATGCGTCTCCAGAGACAGAGGTATTCAAATCTAATCTCCTAGGAAGCCTCCTTCTGGCCCTTGGCTCCTACAACTAGCAAAACCCTTAGGGTAGAAGTGTAGGGGCAGAGAGGGAAAAATGGATGAGAGAAAATCAGCCTGGCTCACAAGGCCCAAGCTGCAGCCATGTCTAGCATGTACCTGGCCCCTCCACCCCCCAGCAATGGAAGAGTCAACTCAGTTTTAAAAACTGGTCCTTTGGCCTGTCCTTCGGTCAAAGTTCACCTCTCCTGGCAGCCTGGCCAAGACTGAGACCCCAGAGTTGGCGGTGCCTTCTCACTCAGCAGAACTCACACAAGGGCTTGTCCCACGGGGGCTTACCAGGGAGCCTTCTTCACCCACTCCCAGCTCCACCCCTGCAAAGTTAGTTGAGTGGGAACAATGAGAAGAGAGGGAGATGGTGTCTCCTTAGGTCCTTGATTTGTGAAATGGGTGTCATCTGTGAAATGGATGGTTGGATTACATAATCTGAGGTCCTACAGCTGATGTTCCACTGCTTCAGGGGAACTCCCTACTCCATGACTTCTCTCTCGAGGATCTGGACCAGCAGGGATGGCAGCACCCATACCCTGTCCTCTCCCTAGCTTGATTTTGGTAATTAATCCATTTCAACCATTAAAGTAGGCCCCATTCCTAGGACAAAAGCACAACCATTCTGAAGTATTTGGAGCATGGACTCAGCTCGTCTGCCCTTTGGTCCCTTTACCTGTCACGGGGCTAGTCTCAGCCCTGTAATGTGGCGTCTGCCTCCCACTCTACCCCCACCTCTTTGACAGAGCTCCGGAAGAGTGCAGATCAAGGGGGAAATAAGCACGTCCTTCTCCTGGCTAGGACTTCATCTGAAAAATGTGGGGTAGCGAGGCTGTCCTCAGGAGTGAGGACCAGCTCTCTGGGGCCTAGGACCATGGTGGGCCACCTGCTGAGGGGGCCCACTGGAGAGTGAGGCTGCCATTGAGGGTGATTTGCGTTCTCGTGTATTTGCTGGCTACTAGTGTCTTGAAATTTAGAATTATTTCACACAGAATTGTTTGTCAGAAAGAGAAAATGGGTTAGAAGAAGCCCAGTTGTAAGTTCTTGTCATGTTACCATTTGAAATTGACATTTAGTTTTTCAAATCACTCTTGGTGCCTAATCACTTAAGTTATTAATTTATTCTGTTTTCTTTTTAAAAAAAATTTGTAACACATATTTATCCTGTGGGTAGGTCTGGGGGTGGGGTGGGAACATGTTCAAGGGGGTCATGTTTTTGCTGTGGTGACACATGGTACAGGCCTGGAGCTTGCAGGTCCCTTTTTACAGTGGTGTTGGAGCAAGGTGACAATAAAGTCCATTAGAAATGACCTGGAGTGGGTTGCTGGAGTCCTTGTCTGTAGGGGCCGGGGGGAGGAGCCCACCTTGGGGGCAAGACTGAGGCCCAATGTTGCCACGTGTGGACTTCCACACACTCTTGACAAGAAGATAATTTCGCAAATAATCCCAGGGAGGCCGATGTGCCAGTCTGCTCCATTTTCACAGGAAATAATTGGGTACTTTCCTTGGCGGAAGCAAGAATGCGTGCGGTTTACCTCAGATCTGGCTTTCTGATCTGTGAGTTGGAGACCGTGCCAGCATCTGCCAGGTCTTAGAAGGTGCCCCCAAAAGGGAATCTAGGCATGGATTCTGGGCCTCACTCGGTCTCAGTGTTACCATGTCCACTGGCCCCCTTCCACCGATCCCGTAGGTCTGACATCTTGAGTCTGTGCTTCTGGGCCAAAACTCCACTCTCCTACAGCACAGCAGGTAGCCCTTGAAGACCCTGGACAGGTCCTTGGTGCGCCTCTGTTACTGCCTTCCCCTTCTTTGTTCTCCCAAGGGGCCGGGCAGGCCTGGTGGAAAGGGGACCCTGCACATGCAGCCACAGCTGTCCAGCTCCAAGGATGCAATGGGACCAGGGAAAGGAGCTGGGGGCAGGCTCTGGAGCCCAGGAGCTGCCTCTCAACTGGCCCCTGGCCCATGCCAAGTCTAGCCCAGGAGAAGCCATAACCCCCGCTTCCTACACAGCTTCTCCGAGGGGAAGAAGGTAGTAGCCACAGGTCTGAGTTCTTGAGGTCTGAAAAGTCACCTGACAGGCACGTTCCCTCAGATATTCTCCAGCCTCCGCACCTTCCCTCAGCCCGTGCTTGCCTCCCATTCTGTCCATACCGCAGGGCTCTTGCCCTCTGCATCCTCCCCAGATCCCGCACTAGTCAAGTCTGCACCTCTCTTTAGACAGTGCTCTCACCTTGGTGCTGTGTCTCACAAGTTACTGAGGTGGGGACTCCGCTCACCAGTAAGGAGCCTGGATCACCATCAGGCTGCCCAGATGGTACAGCAGACATCACATCCACTCAGGAAGGAACGACATCTTTAAAGGCTTCAGAGAACCTAGTTTTATTTCCGTTTGCAACACAGGTCTCTCCTCTCCATTTAAAAGGGGCTACAGCAGTGTCAGGGCACGATGAGGTCAACATCCGCGCTTCACCAGACTCTCCACCCAGCCCTCTGGCGGCATGCTGGCAGCTCTGCTGGCGCCTGATTGGAGGAGCGGGGCCAGCCAGCTTCCCCAAAACAGACAGCCTCGAGAGGACACACGCATCTTCGCGGTAAAATCGAACTCCACTTTCACCAGAAGGGGGCTGCAAACGGTGGCATTTCAGGCACTGAGGCAGGCTAGGGAAGAAGGCAAGGGCGGGGGAAGGGTCGTCCTCCCCTCTGTGCATCTGCGCTGGGTAGGGGGGAGGGAGACAGGCAGGAGGAGCTGGGCCGACCGGCAAGGGGCTTTGCCTCTGATCTGCACCATGCCGCTTCCCACCTGCTCTGCTCGCGAAAGCACACTGGTGCAGAACCCCAGTACCTAGTCTCTGAAACCCCCTTGGAGAAAGAGGATGGCCAGAGGGGGCCCACAGCCCCTTCTTTTTGTGCAAGGGCTTGGATCCTGCTGTGCTTTGTATACTCTAGAGCAACAGTTGTCTGAAAGGAGCTGGGAGGGGGGATATGCTGCTTGGTGGTGAGACGTCAGCACTGAGGCCCAGCCCTGATCCTGAAAGTGTAACGGGGAGCCTGTTGGGAGGGATGCAGCCCAAGCCCAGGTGTGTCATCTAAGTTGCTTCAGGTTAACCAGGACACTTGGGTGTAAAATCTTAACGGCACTGACCCTGGAATCAGGGCCTGATGCCCAATTCACGGAGCTTGGGCCTCACCTCCAAATCTGAGGGTCTCTGTGTATGTACCCTTCAGGCTGTGGACTGACATCCCAGACGCTCCCTCTCCAGCCGTCCTGCCCTCCGAAGGGCCTACTGCAGGGCTGGGCTGCCTCCACAGCCTCCCTCAGACCCCATCTGGCAGAGCAGCTCTGCCGGGCCCTGGGTTTTCCTCCTGAGAAGAGGTCCAGGCCTCCCCTGAGGTTGGCTGTGGTGCCCCTCAGGAGGGAGCAGGCTGGGTGGGTTCACATTAGAAGACCAGTCTGTGGAAGTCGCCACCAGTGCCACCTGCAGGGTTGCAGCCACCTGGAGATCCTTCGTCCTCATCCTTGTCTTCGTCAAAGCCCCGCCCCCAGTGTGGAGACGCAGGGAGTGCAGAAATGTAGGCTGCCCGGCTCCGAGCCTCCTTCTCCTGCTCCTGGGAACACACACGAGGGCAGGGAGGAAGCTTCAAGCTCAGATCCTAGAGCCAGAGTCTTCCCTGCACTGCCTCCCCCAGCTCCACCCAGCATAACACTTCTCAGCACCTCCTTTGAGTGCCCAGGGCCAGAACACAGAAACCACAGCTTTGTCTTCGTGGTGTCCCAGCTCAGGGACAGGATGGGTGGAGTGGTCCCACCCTTCCGCCCTAGGTCTAGGCTGCAAAATCTCTGCTCCTCGCAAGAACTGCAGTCTCTTGGAGGAAAGGAACTCATTTATACTAGCCTGTGACTAGCTGACCAGGGCCTGATGTGGTACCAGGACGTCGGAGGCCTGGGGACTTCAAGGGTCACGTCACACGGGAGCCTCTGGCAGGCTTTCTGAACCTCTCAAGGCATGAGGAACAGACTCTGCCTAGGAAAAAGTGCTTCCCCCTGCTGAACGAGGTCAGCCTTACACGCTCTTCACCACTGGCCTTGCTTCCACCTGGTAGAATGTAAAAACAGGCCTGGTGCCCCTACCCAAGGCGCACCTGCCCCACGCAAAAACTGACTCCAGGCACCAGTCTCCACAAGCCCCAGCATGACTGCTCCAATTGTCTATGACTAGTTCCCAGCCCACTAGTCAGAGTCTTTGCTGTTCCAGTTGCTAAGTATATTGACACTACCCTTGGCTCAAGTGTGACATCAGGCACGGTTTCATAGGAGGTCCAACAGGGGCAGGGCGGGCCCCAGGATCTCCCAGAAGCATCCTCTACTCACTCATGCTCGACTGTTCACTTGCCCAGAACCCCGTGTCACTACTTCAGCACACTTATTAAATGACCACAGAATTATTTAATGTCTGCTCATCTGAAGTCAGGGATTGTGTCTGTGTGGGCCACCAGTATATTGCCAGCACTGAGGGATGGACGAATGGATTTTCTCTTTAAAGATGAGACTCAGAGAAGTATCTTATCTAAGCCAGTGGTTGGGCTGGGACCAGACCCCTCCACCAGATCAAAGACCCCATGGGTCCGCTCACCTGCAGGTAAAGGATGTTGTCTTTGGAAATGGCTTCCATCAGGTCCTTGTGGAGGGTAGGCTCTGCCCGGACTCTGGGAGAGCCCGACATGGCCTCAGGCCCCTCCCCGGGCCGCTGCCGGTAAAAGAGCACATAGGCCGTGTCCTTGGGGAAGAAGGAGGTGACATTGCTCACAGACTCGAAGGAAGAGAAGGACACCCGAGTGTCGTTGAACAGGTACCACTGGTTCTCGGGTTCCAGCCTGTCGGCAGTTCCCAGGGACGGGGCTGGGCGGGCAGCGCCCTCGCGGGCATAGCAGTAGTAGTGACCACTCTCCGAGGACACTCCAGAGTGCACCACGACACTGCAGAGGTCATAAGCCTGGCCCCGGCCCCCAGCCAGCGGCAGGCGGAGCAGCAGGGGGATGGCGACGTCGTCCAGAATCTTGCGGCGCCGCATGGTGCGCAGGTCGAAGGAGAAGCGCAGCAGCGTGAGGATGAGGTAGCGCGGGCCCTGGCTCAGCTCCACCACCTTCTCGGCGTCCTGCAAGGAGGCGCATGACTCACAGTAGTAGCGGTTCTCTGCTGTCAGCCTCTCGGGGGACAGGAAATAGTTGACCAGGTCCAGGACAGAGCGGGAGCCCTCGGGGCCACACATCTGCTCCCCAGCGGGGACGGCAGCATCCCTGTGGGTCTCTGAGCCCAGGATGTCCTCTTCCTTCTCCTTCTCAGTCTCCTTTTCCTTCTCTTTCTCTGCCTTCTCCTCCTCCTCCTCCACCTCTTTCTCCTTCCCTTCTTCCTCTCTGGGGCTTTCCTCCTCCTCCTCTTTCTTCCCTCCTTCCTCCTCCGCACTCTCCTCCTCCCTCTCCACCTTCTCTTCCAGACTGCTCTGCCCCCCAGCTCCCTGGGAGTCCAGGCCTCCGATGTCCAGGCCGGTGGGGGGCGCATCCCCTGTGATGCAGTGTTTCCTCTGCCTCCGAGGGCCCGCCCTGCTTGGCACTGGGGCTTGGGCCAGCAGCAGGAGCTCCCGGGCTCTGATGTCCTCTGCAGGGAGCATCACAGAGCCCAGGCGGCGGCGGCGACAACGCTCAGGGGGAGGAAAGGCGAGAGAGAGGTCCGTGAAGGCCTCCTCCCGGCAGGAGACATTGAGGCAGCGGAGGCAGCATATCCGAGTCACGATCCGGCCTCCGAACATCTTCTCCACAGAGGTGGCACTCAGGCCAGGGGGCTCCTCGGGCGGGGAGGGCAAGCTAGACTGCTTGAGCTTCTGGCAGATTCTTGTCCCCGTCTTCTCTTCTTCATGCAGCCTGGGTGGAGAGCAGAGGGTGCACATATACACACAGGGGTCCTCCCTGGCACACTTGCCTCGGCCATGTCGGTCCTCCTGGCACAGCTGGCCATATACCAAGGCAGACACCCACGCAGGAGAATGCACACTGGCACATCTGCACATGCCCACAGACAGCACACACGCCACACTCCCCCATGCACAGGCTTCAGAAAGACACGCCGGATCTATATACACGGGCCCCCAGGGGAGCGATGAAGACGCACTCAGCCCAACACAACCCAGTGTGCACAACCCAGTGTGCCCGCGATGGCCTCCCAGAGGCCACCATCTGGTTCAGCATCTCCAAACACCTCTCACACTCAGCCCCACCCGTACAGCACACCCCCCTTCTCCGAGCTTTCCGTAAGCTCAAGGCAACACTCCCATTTCCAGGAAGATGCAACACAGCTCAGAGATACAGGAAACTTCCCCAGGCCTGGAGCCCCCACGTAGAGCCCAGGGTCCTGGACCTCCTTACCGATCCAGCAGATACTTCAGGTACTCTGAGCAGTCCTGCTGGGTGCCGGGGCTGAACCAGGGTGTCCAGGATGCAGAGAGGAAATTCTCTGGAGAAATGGCCGGCCGCTAGGATGAAGTAGGTAAAAGATGGGGTCGGGAACAGGAGGCTACTCGCCACCCAGCTCTGCGCTGTGCTAGGGCCGAGGGTCTGTCTGGTACTCTCTGCCTAAGACTCCTCGGCCGCCTCACTGAAGTCCTCCCCCTTCCTAGCTGTCGCTGATCCTCCCATCCCACACGTCCATGCAGCCTCTGAGCAGGGCATCGGGTTCAAGGAGAGAAATGATCTTCTGGAATCTGCTCTTCCCTGACACCTCATACTTTGTCTCCATGGCTCAGCTCACTGCTCTTCTCTCTCCTCTGTCAAGAGGAGTCCCAGATACAGTGTCGCCTCCTCCTTAAGCACTAACCTTTCCCTCCCTCCACGAGCCAGAGACCATGGCTTCTTCATCTGTGCCCCCCCCCACACAGGGCCCTGCATAATCTCTGGCTCGGGGCTTTACATTCCACGAGGGCAGACATGTCTGTATTGCTCACCACCGTACCCTCAGCAGCCCTCAGGGTGCCTGGCCAGGTGGGTGCTCACAAGTGATAGCAGATGAATGAAACCACACAACTGTGTGTTGGAATCTTAATCTCCAAAGCAACAGTGTTGGGGGGGGCCGTAAAGAGCGGCCCTTAGCCGGGCTCGGTGGCTCAGCCTGTAACTCCGCGCCTTTGGGAGGCTGAGGTGAGTGGACTGCCTGAGCCCGCGGGTTCGAGACCCGC